ATTTAATGGATAATTTACACAACAAGTAGGACACTAACACATCTAGTACTTAGAATAAGGCTATTTTTTATTTTCTGGAGCTGTCAAGCCAGCAAGAGTGTTATTGTCCCTTTAATGAACAAAAGTGACCAAATCGAAGAATGTTTCATATTACTAGGTAAATTTAGAGAATATGTGACTGGTCGTCTTCCACCACCTTACAATAAAATAATCCATGAGGTAACATTTTGAGGTTGTCTCCCTTTAATAATATAGCAAACTCTTTTTTAATGCCATTATTTATATTCCGCACTTTTCATGCACAACAATAATTATGTGCATAAAGAGAACAGTGTCTTGATATATAAAGTATAGAGGCCCACACATGTGTATAGGCCCGACTTTAGCTAATCGCAGCTGACGTGTAACTGCTTTAATTTAGATTCTCTGCGGTCAATTTTCGTTTATAGTTTGACAGATATTATGACTGGAAGATAAAGGCTACATTTCCGGGAGAGCTGCTAACCAAAACATTGAATCTGGACTGAAAATTAAAAAAAACAACAACAACAAAAGTATTTGTTTTGAAAGTTTGCAAGGACATTCATGCTGTATGTGGATATTTACATAGGGAAAGTTAATCTCTTTCTTTGATGCATGATTTCATGTTCGTGGTCGAAAAACATCTATTTCTGTCGTTTCAGTCTCTAGGCTCGGACATCCAGATGTCATCATTAAAAGAAGGAAGTCGATATCTCATCTGTCAAAAAATCAATAATGAATACAGGAATACCGGACCTAGCTACCAGCACGAACAACATTGATGAATTGGCTTCATAGAATTGACAGTATCTTATAGTGGAATACAGTGGTTTCTGCTTTGAATGCAGCTTTTATTTTTGATTGAAAATTTGGATTCTTGTGATCCAGTTACTGAGCTAGAGCTGGATTAATCGTTTCATTGATTGATAAGATTTGTTGGAATTCTGTGCACATAGTAATGCCCAATGCCGGCAATTTATTTGTATAGCAGACGTCCTTCCTATTGGCAACATGCTTAATGTAGAATTGATTATTTTCCCATGAATAATCAATGAAATTTATCTCCACCTGCTGCCATATGTTTTCATTTTTTTGTGATTTATACAATAAGCTAATATGTAACATGCACTGTATGTGATCACCGGTGGATTCTGTTGGATTTATCTGAATGTTTAGTGGAAGAATTTCCCAGATTAATTAATTTATGTAAGTGCCACTATTTTAATCAAAACAAATCAGCATAAATCAATATTTATATATAGTCGATGCATGTCATACATGTACGTAAGTCGTAAGTATTTGACAGTGTCTTTGCCTTGTGGTATAGGTCTATTAGAAAATTATCAATGTAAATATACATCAAGGTCAGGATTTCTATTCATTTTCATTCAATAATCTTGACCTTGATTGGTTTCACAGTTTCCATCTCATTTAATATACAGTGTAGACTACATGCATGTAGCAGAGAGGCCCTAGCAAAGTAATTTGTAAAACAACTTGTTATCTATAAGCTTAAGCTTTAAGTTTTAATTTAGACAAGGCAAGTGAATAATGTTAGCAAATTTAAAATGGCATTATAGAAGATTAGATAAAGAGTTGACTGTTCTCGCTTTAATAGTTAAAAAATAGATAACGTAAATAGAATATGTTGAAAATTTCAGTCAAATTGCTCCACTCTGAACCGAGATATTAGCTTTTGAATTTTAAGCCTAGCCTCGATCATCATTACTAAAGTGGGGGGGGGAGGGGAGTTGGATGGCCGAATGGTTAGCACGTGGGCACTGTATCATACGGTCTGTCATTGAGTAAACTGGTGTGGTTTTGATTCCCTGGTTGTACGTGACAAGGAGAAGGTTGCCTGTCCAACCTTGTGGGTTTTCTCCGGGTCCTCCAGTTTCCTCCAACTGCTAAAGACCCCTACGTGCAAGCGAATTATTGAAATAAAATTGAACCATGTGTTAGTCCCAAAATGACCTAGTTTGTGTCGAGTGGATGTTACACCCCATTTCTCTCTCTCTCTCCCATTACTAAAGTTGGTAGGATAAAAAACATAGTCTCAATTATCCATTTTTGGATTTAATCAAGAGCGTTTAGCTGCAGATCGGATTCAAATCCAGTGGAAGTTCTAAACATAAGATGCCATCGAGAGTTTATTATGGTCTGGATCGAAGTTAATTAATGTCTAATTAATAGTTTATGTAACATTTCAGGCCTAAAGAAAGACCTGCAGTAGGCAGATTTAGCTCTTGCATAATGTATATTTAACTATTTACATTTACGTGGACTAGTTTTATGGGGTAACCAGAGTAGCAATCGAACATATACACTGTAGTCTAGTCAGGGTCCAACAGATATAGTATGTCAGAGCAGTAGGTTACATGTAATGTTCACGTGAATGTATCAGGTTGGGATAAAGGCAGTCTAAATCTACATTAGACTGGGAAGTTTTCTACTTATCCCAAGGAAAACTACATGTATGTTTTATATATACTATTCAAAAAAAGTAGGGGATATTTGATTTTTAAGTGTTATTAAAGTCACCTAATGAAACTGACGAAGAAACAAATGACAAAATGAAATGAAGTTCACATTCATCGATTTATTCCAAATGATCGTTAGACTAAGTAAGGCACAGACTGACCATTATAAGGGTAAAATGATACCCGGGGTCAAACAGCAAAGTTACCACAGCATCACAACCAAGTCAGTAACGGGTAAATCCTCCTCTGTTTGCCAAACAAGCATTGATCCGACGTGGCATACTCCTAATGAGACGTCTAAGGTCATTTTGGTCCAGATTGTCTCATTCCTGTTGCAACGCAGCAGCAAGTTCTTGGACATTGGCAGGACGTTGTTGATGTTGACGTAACCTCTGTCCAAGCATGTCCCAGACATGCTCGATGGGGGAGTGGTCGGGACTCAGTGCTGGCCAAGGTAATGTGGTGATGTTCATTTGTTGGAGGTAACCTGTAACGATCCTGGCCCTGTGACATCTTGCGTTGTCATCCTGGAAGATGAAACGGCGGCCATGACGTCGTGCGAACGGCACAACATGGACTGCCAAGATGTTGTCCCGGTAGTACTGGCCTGTAACACGCCCTGCAACAACATGTAAAGCCGTTCTTCCAGCAACAGTGATGCCTCCCCACACCATAACAGAACCACCCACAAATTGATCATGTCTGATGACGTTAACGTCTTGGAAGCGCTCGTTTCGATGACGCCACACCCTCCTACGTCTGTCCAAAAAATTAACAGTGAACCTTGACTCATCTGAAAACATCACATTGCTCCAGCGTCGATTATCCCAGTGTTGACGATCCCTACACCAACGACGTCTTGCCTGAATGTGATGATCTCTCAAACAAGGGATCACGCGAGGACGTCGGGCGCGAAGGTGACCCCTATGCAGTCGATTCCGAATCGTCTGGCCACTCACTCTCACACCAGTTTCTGTTTGAAGACGAGCGCTGATCTGATTTGCTGTGATGACACGATTTCTCAAGGCCAAGGTACGGATAAATCAATCCTGGGCTTGAGTTGTCGCCCTTGGTCGACCTGAGCGTGGTCTGTCCTGTACAGATTGTGTATCACGGTATCTGGACCATAGCCTGCTTATGACAGACTGAGAAACATTCATCGTCCGCGCCACAACCGCCTGTGTTGTGCCGATCTGTAGCATGCCAAGGGCACGTAACCTTTCATTTTGGGTAAGCCGACGCATATCAAAATTTGTTTTCTGGTCACTAAAACAATTAAACTGATGTTTCCACCCTGGAATTCAATGCCACAATGACTGTAACATTCAAAGTCAGAGTCGTGCAAATCTTGGGTTGGACCCCCATGATGATCCCAAGCATCACCTACATTCCATGCGGTAGCTGTTGGTGCGTTTGGGCGTCACATGTAACTGGAAATGTTTCTTCTGTTAGGTTCTATAGTGACTTTTTTCATAGTCATTTGCATATTTTAGTATTATGCCCCCAAAATCAAATATCCCCTACTTTTTTTGAATAGTATATATAAAAAAAAAAAACATTTTCAGTCCTTGTCAGACATTTGTCATGCTTCCCTTTTAAGTACATGTAAGACGATAAGACTTGAAAATAAGACAATACAAGGCTGTTGAAGGAAATGACAGACTAAAATATGGTGATCAGATTTCGGTTTGTCACAAATAACTTCAAGTCCTTGTAGGTTTTGTATAGTTTAAGCATGCATTTTTCTTGCAATAACATTACATTACTTTAAAAGTCAAACTTTAATCTGTATGGCCGGATAACAGTAACTACTATCCAGGAAATCAGGTATCTGGTCAAGTAGTAAAAATTTACTATCCTAAGCATCCCTACTACCTGTAAATGAATTAACTGTGCAGTGCCATCATGTGCAGTTAGGTTAACATTTGTCTTCTTGCATTGCTCACCTGGGGTTACTATACATGTATGTTCCTCATTTACCGGGATAGTCCCCAAATATCCCTAATAAATTTGCACCTTCGTCGTTCAATATATTGCACGCCAATGGCACGTAATATTGCACCATTCTGGCTCTCCATGTTCAAATTTTCTTTTTCTTCGTGGTTCCCCCTTGTCAGTGATGTAGGACGGAGGGCCTGACAAGGACAGCTGTCTAGTCCTTCGGATGATACTAAAAACCGAGGTTGGAATTCGAAATAATAGTAGGCGATAGTGCCCTTGCGCGGGCAAAATTTCCCTCATAGCACACTGTATGGCGTATGCCCGTCTACATTAGCCCAGTATACATGTAGGAGCAGAACAGTAGGATATTAAACCCCATTTCATTTCATTTCATAGAAACAAATGTCCCGGTATCTACTGTGAATAATCTGGTTACCCTATATGTACTCTCACCTGCATGTAAGTATAAACATGAAATATCATATGTTTGTCTCAATAATTGTTACAGTTAATCTTATTTCTTTTCTCATTCTGCTACTTTCAGTGATGGATTATATCTCAAACTGAAGTCAATAAAACAAGATGTTGGAGTCATTAGTTGTTAACCTTCTTAATAAACATTTTGGAAAATATATTCAAAATCTTGACTCCAGTAATCTTAACATCAGTATTCTACAAGGTGAGTGCTTACATGTATTTATTGTTGTAACAAAAACAAGTGAATTAATGAGGCTAATTAGTAATGTAGTGTGCTATGACAAAAAATTTGAATAAGATTCTAACTGTCAAGGATGAGTTCCCAGTTGGATCTTGGTATTTTTTCCAATCTGAACGACTTGAGGCTGTCTGTCTTGCACAACTGACAAGGGAAGCAGATTGGAAAATCCTGAGGAACTTTCTCAGTCAACATTGGGATTAATAAAAACAAAAAAAAAGACAAAATGACAGGCATCAGATGAATAGTCCCTGACAATCCCTGACAATGTCTGTGATATGTGGCTTATTTCCAAGTTTCTTATTGCACTCGGAAAGTGTTGCTCATCTGCCAATTACTGTAATGAAAATAAGAATACATGTATGTTAATCCTGGTAAAACCTACATGTGGTTGAACTGGTTGGACATCAAACAGCTCTCTTTCTCTCGCTCTCTCTCTCTCTGGTGGTCATTTTTTTAATTTTCTTGCTGTACCTAGGCATGAAGAACTACATGTATATAGCTGTAGGGCCACACCAATTTGAATTTCTGTGAACATGTATTAAAAAATTTGCTTCCTATATCTTCGGGGGAAAAAAAGTTAAATACAAAAAGGATTTTCTAAAGATTTTAGATAAAAAAAAGAAACGTAAGTTTTGAAATATTAAACAAAACAGTTCCTGAGACTAGAGAATCTATTTATATATCAGTTTGGCTGAAGTCAGTTATAGTAATTTGTAAAGTTCGCTCTGATGTCTCTTTTATGTAATCATTAATCTATTGCTACATGTCATTAAGCCTAGATTAGCATGCTTATATTACATGTAATACTAGTAGTAATGATGTTGCTCCATATCACAATATCAACCAATCATATAGGATTGAATAATGAATATTTAAATTTATCATAACATGCATCAGTATTAAAGGCACAACCAGCGAGATAATAATCAATCTCTTAAAGTGCATTAGTGCCATTCTGGATAGCTGTTAGTAATTTATTCCACTCTTTTGGAGCATCATAGGTGGGTGCTCTTTCTCCAAGTTTGGATTTGGGTACAGAAAAAACCAACTGATTACTATTTGTTCTAGCTGGAACATTTTATTAATAGGTGGTTCACATGCATGATGTATATCTCAAAAGAAAAAAAAAAAAATGATATTATGGTATGTAAAACATACAGTATCATAATTGTTATTACTGTATTTGTATAAGACAAATAAAAATGGTCAGTGTGAAATCAATAGAAACAGGTGTAAACTTTAAATGACCATGAACTGACTTGAAAAATCCTGAAATTCGTTTTGGGTTTGATCCTATGCTTGTGGTTGACTGAGAAGATCAATGTTTCTGCCACTAATGTTTCTGCCACAGAGGTTACATGTACATGTACCTGGTGCTAAGGAATTGACTGCCACTGGTTAAAGTTAATAATCTGTGCAGTTGAAAATTCAGTGGCCAAAATGTGGTACATTTGGTTGGCTGAATAAAAATTACCTTGTTAATGAATGTCAGCTTTATCTATATGATTTTTTTAATACACTCTGTCACTTATTGTACTATAAATTATGTTAAACATGAGTGGTTATGATTATGAGTAATGTGTTAGAAATGGTTTAATTGACAATATATCTGGGATGTAACAGATGTTAACAATATAATAGTTAACTGTAATATTGATCTATAAATGTACATGTTGAGATCCAGGAGAACATTTTTTCACATACAACATACAACCAAAAAATAGAAAAGTTTACTTTAACCTTTAATGATGTTCTAAATCACTGAAAACAAAATTTAGAATGATAGTCAGAGATTTAAATAATTTTTTTTTTTTCCAATGATGATTCTCTCTCGACCATGCTCTGTCCTTGTTTCTTGTGTGTACTTGAATAGTCACATCACATTGAATCAGTCTTTACAGACATCACAGCAAACTTCAACTCTTATATAATAGGGAGGCCAATCAGCCCATTGTAATTGAGCAATAAGATACATACACGGAACTGCTAATTATAATCGAGGGATTATTCAAGTCTGCCACCCACATGCCTGTGGGGCTGGTGAGTAAAGTGTGGCATAGTCATTTGGATGGAATAAAAAACCAAAGTCCACCTGTGTACATGTTGAAATTCAATGATAAATGGGCAGACACACCACTCTATATCCTTATATGTAGCCTTACATAGCTGACCATTGATAACAAAAATAACTGTTAGTCTCAAAATGATTATCACCATTTTCTCAGCACTTTTGCTTTGAGTATCATGTGGGCTTACTTACCAGCCAATCTCATGTTCCATCCTGGTATTGCCTGTGAAAGTTCCTCAGGATTTTGCAGCATGGTTTCCCGTCTTTAGTGGTACAGGGCCCTGTAAAGAAAAGTATCTATGTGCACAGATAAATTTGATAAGAATATTTTTGATAGTTCTGGTAGTGATTGTAGTTTTGATAGCTTTACAGTACAACTGTACATGTACTGTAGATGAAATGTTAATATATCTGTTTTGATAGTTCTTGTAAAAATTTTGATATTTTGATTAGCTATATGTATCTAAGCTATATATATGTATGTTAGGTATATGATGTGTTTGCATTTTGATAGATTAAATACAAATGTTTTTATTTTGATAGATTAGATACATGTAGGAATGTTTACATGTATATTTTGATAGATTAAATATGAATGTTTGTAGGAATGATTAAAGACAAATGTTTGTATTTTGATAGATTAAATATGAATGTTTATATTTTGAATTGAATTGAAATAGTGTTTAATGTCCTACTTTGATTTTGTAAGAATTTTATATATTAAAATCTCAGATTAAATTATTTTGCACTTATAGGTGATGCAGAATTTACTGACTTGCAATTACGACCAGAGGCTTTGGTAAGTTTGAATTTTCTATATCTAGTACAATAAAAACCAGATCAAACTTTCCTATTTTGTCTCCTCATTTAGCCGATGAAAGGATTCCCTAAAGTTGTTTTTAGGCAATGAAGATGTACTTTGAAAAGATGAGTTATGATGTCTTCATAAAATATTTAAGATTATATAGAGGCTATTTCAAATCTTCTATATATGTTTTATTGCATGTTTATTTCAATGAGTGTTTATATCAGGTTTTCAGAGTTGAGTAACATTTAGCTAATATTAAGTTTTTTTATATATATGTTATGCTACGAAAGAAGAAAATATTCCATTATTACCTTGTTTATTTCTGATATAAAATTGAGTAGTGTTTGGTATAAAGTTTTTTTATGTACATATATGCCTCGTATAAATGCTAGTACACAATTTCTCTTCATTTATTGGATATTCTTTACTGAATTGAGGGGCATTGGTTTTCAAGAGGTAGGTGATGACTGGCCTCTTATCAAGAATATCATAGTTTGACTCCTGATGATGGGCGAGATGAATGTTTGTGATTTTTTGAGCCCAATTCTCGCTTGGAGTCTAAGGGGGTGACATGCAAAGTTAATGCCTAGTCACTTGGATGGAACAAAAAAAAAACCCCACCCTGGTCCACGTTTTTATACATTGGCATGTGCATGAAAGAACCCTTGACTGTTGGAATTCGATGTGTTCATGTTAAAGCTTCGTTCCCAGAAAAGTATTTATCGAGTGGTTATTTCCAATAAAAGTATGGCAGTTTTGGTATATATGGAAAGTAGAAATATCCAATCCTACTAGAAAAATACTGGATTCCCTGAAAAACACTCATGGAGCGCATACAGAACAAAGATGTAAGGGTTTCCCTAATCGACGATTAGGAGTGTCTGCACGCGTGACGTCGAAGGTTGCACGCAGAGATTGAGTGCTTGATGTACATTTTGATAAACTTTATGAAGAACTAGAAGAATGCCCGGCTTCGCTCAGGGGTCATAACCCCGAAACCGGAAGTGGTAGACTAACGCCACCTGGCCTATGTTACTCCCCGGTCGGAGCTACCCCAATACCCCAAATTTCAGACTCGGGGCAGACCTAGTGTAGCCGCCAACCCCGAACAGACAGACAAACGACAGTCACAAATATTAGTATAGATTAGACATACAACACTTTCTGAGATAAAAATCACAGAAAAAGACGCGGGCAGTGGATAATCCGAAAATTTAATTAGGCTTCGATATTTGTAATAAATAGTCAGCGATTAAAAACAACATCGTCTTGTGTATGCAATGAATTCTCCTCCGACTTCACTTGCGTTGCTAGGTACTGAGAGACACAAACATGATCTCTTTTGATCAATTTTTTATAGCCAGGGTATTCCCCGACAATTGCAATGTTTTGAGAAGGATTTGAAACAAAATTATGATAAATTAATTAGTTTGAATATGTTTTTAGTCCAAATATATCATCAAATCACCCAGTTTGTACCCGGGGAATGTATCTTTAAAGCCCATTTAAATTTCATTTGTTTCTATCTCATACAATTGTCATCACTCTTAAATATTTTGTGGGCAAAAACTCTGCTGTTCTGCAAAATAGATTCAGTATTTATATAATGAGGATATCAATATGCACACCAACTGTTAACTTATCAAACGTGTGGATCAATTACAACATATTATATTGCCATGGTTTTACAGCTGATCATAACACCATTAATACCTGTCATTTATATTCAATGTCTATCAAACATAACAACTTAAATACATGTGACACATGTAGGATTTCTAAAGGGTTGGAGGATATAGACACCCTAAAATAGACTAAGCATGTCATTACCCCCAGGCCCCAAGAAAAAATTAAAAAGTAAAAAATAGATCACATGTTTTGTTAATTGATTTTTTAATTCAAATATTTCGATGGGGGAGTTAAAAATTTATAAAAAAAATAATTTAGATAAGTTATATTTATAGCTTTATGTATAAAACTCTTAGAACTATATAAATAGAATTGAGATACATGTTATGCTAAAAATGATCATATTCTTTGAAAAAAGATCTTGCCAAAATGAGGAAAACAAAATATGTACCGGCTAGCAAAATTTTGAAGTGAAGGTTCAGGTACACCTTCACATTGGGTTTACATTTGCATTGTTAATTTTAAAGTGAAAGCCCTGTTTCAAATATTGACAATTTTTTAAGTGTAAATATTGTCTCTGCCATTGGCATTACAGGTCTAAATTGTATTACTTTTTTTATACGCCCACATTTTCATGTGGATGTATTATGGGATCGCCCCTGTCCGTCCGTCCACAATTTTTGTGTGGACACTCTACAGGTCACAATTTTTTATCTGATTTTAACGGAACTTGAAATATATATAGGTCTTTCTCCAAAAGATCTCGATTCCTTTCAATATTGACATGTATCGGACCATAACTTCATGGATATTATGGCCCCTGATTGTACGAAAAATCACGTTTTTAGCTTGTAGACACTCTAGAGGTCACAATTTTCATCTGATTTCGCTGAAACTTGAAATGTATGTTTATAACCCAAACATCTTGGTTTCTTTTGATGTTCGCACACATCGGATCATAACTTCCTGAATTATGACCCTTGATTGTACGAAAGATTGCGTTTTTAGATTGTGGTCCCTCTAAAGGTCACAATTTTTATCCGATTTAAAAAAAACGTTTGCATATATCACCCTAATGAATTGAATTTCGTGAAAATTGGACCAAAACTGCCAGATAAAATGGCAGCCCCTCGTACGCAAATAGTGTAAAAATATGGTATATCAAGGTTGTGGACCCTTTAGAGATCACAATTTTGATCCAATTTTGATGAAACTTGAAAAATACAGGTTTATAACCCAAACATTTTTGTTGCTTTCGACATTCGCGCACATCGGATCGTAACTTCCTGAATTATGGTCCTTGATTGTACGAAAGATCGCGTTTTTAGATTTTGGTCCCTCTGGAGGTCACAATTTTTATCTGATTTAAAAAAACACTTTTCAATATATCACCTTTGCACCCTATTGACGATAGAATTTGAATTTCGTGAAAATTGGACCAAAACTGCTGGACAAAATGGCCACCCCTCGTACACAAATAGTGTAAAAATATGGTATATCAAGGTTGTGGACCCTCTAGAAGCCACAATTTTGATCCAATTTTGATGAAACTTTAAATTTATGTTTATATCACAAAGATCTTGGATCACCTCGATAATTGTGCATATCCGAACGTAACTTCCTAGATTATGGCCCTGATTCTTCGAAAAATTTGTTAGCTTATGGACCTAGTAGAAGTCACAATTTGTATTAAATTTTAAAAGACATTTAAATATATCACCATTACACATATAAAGGTTGAGATCGAATTTCGTAAAAATCTGACCGAAACTGTAGGACAAAATGACCGCTTTTTGTACGCAAATAGTGTAAAAGTATGTAATACCAAGGTTGTGGACACTCTACTCTAAGCTAGAAGTAGAAGTCACAATTTTTATCCGACTTTGATGAAACTTGAAAGGTATGTTTGTAATCCAGGGATCTTGGTTCCTTTCGATATTGGTGCGTATTGGACCTTAACTTCCTGGATTATGGCCCCTGATTGTATGAAAAATAGCTTTTTTTTTAGCTTGTTCTCTATCCATCTCTTGAATAATGTGGGTGTATCTTGCCTGGCAGCCAATGGTTTATATAATTGTTTGTTATTCTATTTCTATTGATGATTTGTATAATTATATACAATTGTTTGATGATTTGTAGGCTGAGTTAGATCTACCAGTGGAAGTTAAAGCTGGATATGTGGGTATGTACGAACATTAGTTTTTCATAACAAATTTAAAGCAAATAGGTATAAAAGTTTAGGGTCAGTTGGTCATGCTTAAAACATTAAACGTCAAATTTCAGTATCCATTTAAAGGCTCATTGCTCTATAGGAATCCCTTGCAAATTACAATATTGTGAAAGATTAATCTCTAATCGGAATATCAGCCCAAACATGGTTTAATTCCATTCAGTATTTACAAAGTTATGATAAATTGATTTTTTCATCGATCTATGCTGCTCGAGCGCAACAAGAAGCCATCAATCAGTCATTAATCTAAATGCATTTATGTAGAATATGCATATTACTTAAGAAATATGGAGGTTTGTAAGATTCAGGAAGTTTATAGATAATATATATAGTATATATGTATTTTAATTCCATGTGTAAATGCTTGATGTGGTTGCTTTTTATAAATTACAGACAATATTTTTACTTTAAAGTAAATTGTAAAAATTACAAAATGTCAGATATTTTGAGTTCTAAAATTTTTGATTCTATGGCTATGCCAGGTTGATAATTTTTTGATGTTGAGTCATTTTAATATTCACTTTATGACTTCAATCCATGATGTCTTAATTATCTGTTAAATAATAAATTTGAGTGATTCTGTAAAAATAAATTTATTGTAATCTAATAAAATTAATAATAATTTTCTTTTCTTTTATATAAATTTTGCTAATAAATTATAATATTGATTTTATATTATTTTATTTAAATTATGCTCATGTTTTCAGGTCGACTTAAGATTGATATTCCTTGGACCAGATTATTTACCTCTGATATCCAGGTATGGCTAGAAGATGTTTACATGCTTGTTGGGCCAATCGCTGACAGGCAATATGATCATGAACGAGAACGGCAGCTTCAGAATGCTGTCAAACGACAAAAATTGGAGTCTTTGGAAAAATCAACGCTTGAAACTGTAGGTCAGTAAATTTGTTTCTCAATATAATTTTGTTGGAATGATGAGAAATATCTAAGTTAGTGCATCAGTAAATTTGTTTCTCAATATAATTTTGTTGGAATGATGAGAAATATCTAAGTTAGTGCATGCTATATGTACTTTGCATGTGAATATGTGAACTAGGCTTATATTTTGATTGGAGGAGAATAACTGCTAAAAACTGTCTGTAATTTTAAGGATACTGCAGCTAATCTATTTCCAAGTAAATCTGTAGGTGTATGGAGAAATCAGGAAAAAGCTGACAAAAAAAAAAAGATTTTGTCCTGTTGGCAAGCCTGGAAATAAGGCACCTGTGACAGACATTGGTCAGGCACAAATTCAGGATTTCTCGGGCACAATCCCCCAGGGGCCAGTCAATTTGTCTGCGATAGAATAGACATGTCTTCTTTATTGATATTATTAGTACATGTACATGTCTGGCACAGTATTTGAATGATTAATCACATATCCATAATCTCCAGTACTGACGAATTAGCTCCTTACTAAAGTACAATAAAAATTATTAATGGGTACAGGAATATCCCTGGTCGTGCAGGCTAGATTGGATCTCAGGGATACAGCATGGGCTAGCTGAAGGAAGCAATCCCAACAAATCCAGGAGCTAAATTTCTTGGATTTACATCAAAATAAAATGTTGATCTGGTATTAGTTATTTTATTTTGAGATGAAATGATGATATATTTAATTCAACTTTTGTTTCGAGAGATAAACGGATTTCGGCATGGTTACTAATTTAGTTACATTTATTTTACTTGCCATGTGAACACTTAAACGTACAGGAGATTTTGTCTGAATATGGACGTAAAAACTTGTTTTCAAATTATTTTTCCCCCCCAAAAAAAGATTTTTATAAGTGTTCATGAAGAACAAAAGTTCAGCTTACTTAGGTGTTGCTAGACAGTTCTGTAATTGATGTCAAAACTGGGATAGAAATGTTTTATTATCATTTCTTCACATTAACACATACTCCTCCTCCTACACATGTATTTATAGCGACAAAATATTGATTTCATCAAGTTTGTAGCTGTTTGAACTTTAAAGTGCTTTTGTTAAAGAGCATGCATTGGTATTGAGCTGAGAACAGTGTCAACAATATAATACATGTCGCAGGACTTTTAATCTGTTCTGAAACAAACTCGGGCATAATTCAGACAATTTCCACCAAAATCAACCCACTAATAAACAGTAATTCCATAATAGGCTATTTTTTTTTTAGAGCGATTAGTTTTGTATGAAATATTAATACCGGTAGTCCACAATTACTTATCGATTGTACAATGTATGCTGGGCATTGAAAGTGTAATGTCCGTGATAAGACAAAATAATGTTGTTTGTCTTCATTCTACATATAAAATGCAAGGAAGTCCATATCTGAAAGGAAAGCTGTTAACTCTGTGAACCGACCACAAAGAAACTGAACACACAGACCAGTGAAATGACTATAGACAACATGATATATTTATTAGGCTACATAGCCATGTGTTCAAATCAATGTCATACACCAAAGTTGTTCGGAATTCATGTGATTAGATATTATGATATAAAACATAGAATTAAACAATTGTGGCCAAATGTTCAAAACTGCCCAAGTAATCTGACTTGGCCATAGGGAGCCACAGTGGTCAGAGACTAAGGTGTTGGCTTGTTTAGTCCTGGTGTTGGCCAAGAAAGTTCTTCAGCATTTTTCGTCGTGGTTGCCCCTTGTTGGTGTTACAGGATGGGAGGACCTGGCAAAGAACAGTGTCTAGTCATTTGGATGTTAGTTTCGATATGACCTGGTAATGGTTGAGTGGACTGGTCAGACTAGATATCACTGAGGACATAAAAAGAGTGTTTTGCTTTGTCAATCAGTATATGCATAGGCAAAATATCAGCCCAATAACATGACCCTCTACATGATCAACTCATTTAACAATAATTTCCAAACTCTTCAGTATATAGAGCAGTTCAACTTTCAGGCAAAATAAATACTGTAGGCCATTTCTTTATATTTTATTTCCGTACATAAACCCAATTGTCTGTACACAGATACTGCATGAAATCAGACACTGTTCTTAATGTACATGGTAATGTATTTTTTGCTCATCAGTAGAAAGTAACAGAGCATTGCATTACAATAAATCTTTCAATGGGAATTTAACTTTTTCCATTCTTTTTGGCCTTATATGTTGGGAGACCAAGGTCGTTGAGTGGTGGAGGAAGTCAATTCTTGACTCTAATGTCCAAGTATGGGCTGTGAAGATCCTTCTATTACCAACTAATTATTGTCTGTAGATAATTAAACTTAAAGGAGCTAAATCGCTAACCTTGGGGACCTAGAAATTGACAAAAGTGGGTCGCAACGCATTTAATACTGTAATATGAATGTATATAAACTGATTTACATTCAATGGTTTCCGTTTTTACTCCAATTTCAAATCAGTTTTGTTCGGCGAAATAAGCCAGCAGTCTCAAGGGAGTGCAAATTTCTAGCGTCTGGTTATTCCAGTCTACATACGCCGTTTGATTTGGTGCAATGTGTCTAGCCTCGTCCCTCGAGTCTCTTGATACAACTGGGGCTGAAGCGCATTATGGTACACGATTCGTGTACCAATGGTAAAATGTTTATTTTGTCTTAAATATTGGATATCAAAAGCCCATCTTTTCCCGGTAAGATCACAACATGAATGTTGATTTAATTTGACAAATAAATCGTGTTTTCAATGTTGAAGATTTTGGATGATATTGAGTAAGAGACTTAGCTACTTTAAACATTATTTTCCCACATCAAACAAATTTATAGGAACGATAGTGGGGTTTGTCCTTTAGTCCCAGTTCTGTTTCCAAAGCAAATTTAAGAATGGGTGAAATATATCGTTATATTTGTACACATATCAATCTATTATAATTAATATAACTTATATGCCTAGGCTTGTTTTTGTGTCCTATTCTTTATGTCTTTAAAAATTGTACAATATTTTCAAAATAAATACTGTTTAAACCAACCTATACTATTCAAAAAAAGTAGGGGATATTTGATTTTTAAGTGTTATTAAAGTCACCTAATGAAACTGACGAAGAAACAAATGACAAAATGAAATGAAGTTCACATTCATCGATTTATTCCAAATGATCGTTAGACGAAGTAAGGCACAGACTGACCATTATAAGGGTAAAATGATACCCGGGGTCAAACAGCAAAGTTACCACAGCATCACAACCAAGTCAGTAACGGGTAAATCCTCCTCTGTTTGCCAAACAAGCATTGATCCGACGTGGCATACTCCTAATGAGACGTCTAAGGTCATTTTGGTCCAGATTGTCCCATTCCCGTTGCAACACAGCAGCAAGTTCTTGGACATTGACAGGACGTTGTTGACGTTGACGTAACCTCTGTCCAAGCATGTCCCAGACATGCTCGATGGGGGAGAGGTCGGGACTCAGTGCTGGCCAAGGTAATGTGGTGATGTTATGTTGTTGGAGGTAACCTGTAACGATCCTGGCCCTGTGACATCTTGCGTTGTCATCCTGGAAGATGAAACGGCGGCCATGACGTCGTGCGAACGGCACAACATGGACTGCCAAGATGTTGTCCCGGTAGTACTGGCCTGTAACACGCCCTGCAACAACATGTAAAGCCGTTCTTCCAGCAACAGTGATGCCTCCCCACACCATAACAAAACGACCCCCAAATCGATCATGTCTGATGACGTTAACGTCTTGGAAGCGCTCGTTTCGACGACGCCACACCCTCCTACGTCTGTCCAAAAAATCAACAGTGAACCTTGACTCATCTGAAAACATCACATTGCTCCAGCGTCGATTATCCCAGTGTTGACGATCCCTACACCAACGACGTCTTGCCTGAATGTGATGATCTCTCAAACAAGGGATCACGCGAAGACGTCGGGCGCGAAGGTGACCCCTATGCAGTCGATTCCGAATCGTCTGGCCACTCACTCTCACACCAGTGTCTGTTTGAAGACGAGCGCTGATCTGATTTGCTGTGATGACACGATTTCTCAAGGCCAAGGTACGGATAAATCGATCCTGGGCTTGAGTTGTCGCCCTTGGTCGACCTGAGCGTGGTCTGTCCTGTACAGATTGTGTATCACGGTATCTGGACCATAGCCTGCTTATGACAGACTGAGAAACATTCATCGTCCGCGCCACAACCGCCTGTGTTGTGCCGATCTGTAGCATGCCAAGGGCACGTAACCTTTCATTTTGGGTAAGCCGACGCATATCAAAATTTGTTTTCTGGTCACTAAAACAATTAAACTGATGTTTCCACCCTGGAATTCAATGCCACAATGACTGTAACATTCAAAGTCAGAGTCGTGCAAATCTTGGGTTGGACCCCCATGATGATCCCAAGCATCACCTGCATTCCATGCGGTAGCTATTGGTGCGTTTGGGCGTCACATGTAACTGGAAATGTTTCTTCTGTTAGGTTCTATAGTGACTTTTTTCGTAGTCATTTGCATATTTTAGTATTATGCCCCCAAAATCAAATATCCCCTACTTTTTTTGAATAGTATATTATAGTAATTGTACATTTTGCTGCCATAATTAGAAATTTCTCTGATTTAATGATTTTTTGTGTTTTCATCGAAACAAAGTTAGTATTACGAGGGTGCAGGATGTTGTTGAATGAGTCTTCATGTTATTGTCTATACTGACTGTCCAGCAAAAACACAGAACAGCAGAAGACAATTAGAATGTCAAAGTGAGAGATAATAGCTCTTCACAACCACATACAAAAAATAAGAATACAGAGAATATAAACATGGCTACTAGGAAATGGGAGATGTTAAATTATTGTAACTATATCTTTAGTAATTGGATAGAGCAATAAACTGTAACACATACATGTAGTAATGCAAGAACAATTATTTGTGTGTCAATTCAAAGAATATTCTCTCAATTTTTTCAATTACTTGTAAAAATTTTAACAAATGTCATTGTACAGAAAAATCCTCT